AACCACTGAATCATATACTTTAAATGGGTGAATTATATCTCAATAAAGCTGTTATTAAAAAAAAAAAAAAGCACAGGGTGCCTGGGCGGCTCAGTCAGTTAAGCGACTGCCTTCGGCTCAGGTCAATGATCCTGGAGTCCTGGGATCGCGTCCTGCATCGGGCTCCCTGCTCAGTGGGGAGTCTGCTTCTCCCTCTGACCCTCTCCCCTCTCATTCTCTCTCTCTCTGTCATTCTCTCTCTCTCTCAAAAATAAATAAAATTTAAAAAAAAAGCTAATGATCAGCATGCATGGAAAAAAAATCTCTATTTTAAAAAAAAAAAAGCATAGTGCAGGGTCTTGACCTGCAAGGTATTATTTTACGTTTATTCTTAGAAACTATATTCAGAGAGATGACAGACAAATCAGCTTATAAGAAAAACTATCATTTCATATGTCTCTGAAAACTGCACAAATTCAGTTAGATGTCAGGTAAATAAAATGCTATGGATGATCTCAAAGTCAAAGGATTTATCAAACCCAATATAATTACCAAGCCATACTCACTTGTATGATATCAAAGTACTATTCTGTCAAAATCATTTTCACTAGTACAAATTTGCTGTAAGCATGTGACCCTATAAAATAGATCATTAAGGCAAAGCTATTTTGCTATAGTAAAGAAGTCCATTACATATTTCTATTTAAACACACGGTCAAATCACATACCCAGAGTTCAGTACTGACAGCAGTGAATGTAAATTAAAAATGTACACTTCACTGCATACAAAAGGAAACAAATCTGAATGGCTCAAATTAAAATTTACTGTAGAATTTTATTTAAATGCCATGTTCATTTTTCTTAAAAAAATATATACCACTTTTATAGTATGGATTACTACCCTATAATATGCATCATTTACACCACACACTAGAGTTGTCCCATAATATATAACAAAATTAAGAAAACATAACCTAGCACACAGACAGAAGAATACAAAGCCTTTTTTAAAAAACCTCAATCAAGGTGCCTGTGTGGCTCAGTCAGTTAAGCATCCAACTCTGGATCCCAGCTCAGGTCTTGATCTCAGAATTGTGAGTTCAAGCCCCATGGTCGGGGGGAGGGGACCCTCATTCATACCTTCAGTGTAAATACAGACCACCACCCTGGAGCCTCTCCAGATGCTAAGTTCCAGATGCTGGTTTCTGATTAGTATCTTCCCACAGTTAGTTGTCCCACAGGCTTCTCAAACTCAACCTAGCCGACACAGAACTCATCTTCTGTCCCAAAATGCACAAATTCTTCTTCCTCTGGTATTTATCTCAGATAACGTCACCATCATCTACCTAGTCATGCAAGCCAGAAACGGAAAATCAATCTGGACTCGTCCCTCTCCTCCATTTCCAACTCCCAAACATCCTTCAAGTCAAACATCAAAACCTCATCAACTCTACCTCCGAAGTGTCTGCTGTACCCCCACCCTCCTCTTCCTACCAGTATGACTTCAAGTCCATCATACCTCACTGGCTCTGCCTCAAGTCTCACCACTCTTAAATAAAACCTGGCCAACATTATTGTGGGAACCACTCATCCACTCCTCTTAAAATATGTGGTTCAAATAAGCACCTTCCTCCAACTAAGCTCTTGGGTGGGGCATGTGATCCAGACATGACCAAAGTTCTCCATCCTCCAGTCACAGTGACTGGTTTAGGGATAAGAATGTATCTCAAGTTGGGCCAATCAGGGCACCTGGTGGCTCAGTTGGCTGAGCAACTGCCTTCGGATCAGGTCATGATCCTGGAGTCCCGGGATCGAGTCCCGCATTGGGCTCCCTGCTCGGCAGGGAGTCTGCTTCTCCCTCTGACCCTCCCCCCTCTCATGTTCTCTCTCTCTCTATCTCATTCTCTCTCTCAAATAAATAAATAAATAAATCTTTAAAAAAAAAAAAAAGTTGGGCCAATCAGTACCTTCCTCGGGACTTCTTACTGAAATAAGAAAAGAAGTGCACATTATTTTTTACTGAGATCACTTCCTGTGAGAACAACCTACCTCAAACTGGCAGTATTCATCTCTGCCACCCTGTACCTGCATCAGATTCAATCCTTACAAAGAAAGCAAGCTGGGAGACCACAAGCAAGAGACACTAATGGTATTTTCCTGAGATCTAATGAAGCCAAAACTTCTTTGTTACATAGGCAAATAATCCTTTCTTTAAAAAAATCAATTCAACTTTGGTTTCTGTTGCCTCTCAAGTCCTAACACATTTCTTAACAACTAAATGGAATTCTCTAGCTCCACTATCTAAAATCCTTCAGTCATTCTTTATTATTGCTAAGGTTAAAGTCCAAGACCTTAAGGTCTGCAAATTCTGGTCCCTTGATTATCTGATGCCATAATAATCAACTTTGGCACTGCAAAACACCATAAGCAAAGTAAAAAGATAAATGACAAACTAAAGAGGAATATCTGCAACTTTTATCCCAAGGGCTTAGGTCCTTAATATATAAACAGTTTCTAAGAAATGGACAGAAAAAAAGTACTCCTAGAAAAACAAGCAAAACTATGACCACATGGTTCACAGAAGATAAAACTCAAATGGATTTTAAACATAAGAAAACATGCTCAATTTCATTTATAATAAAAGGAATGAAAATTAAAACGACACAAATTTCATTTGCATGTATATGGCAAAAACTCACATTTCTTATAAAAATCTCAGTGACCAAGGCCATGGAGGAACAAGCATTCACATAAGACTGCTGGCTACAAAAGGGTACAAACCCTGTGAAAAGGAATTCCTCTGGAGAGGAACTGACCCAGCAATCTGGAAGCTTATCACAAAGATACAGTGACAAAAATACAAACAATTCTATGTACAAGGGTACTCAGTGCAACACTATGAAAGGGTAAAAGACTAGAAATCACCAGATGGCCACCGGTAAAGGTCAGAATGAAGAAATCATTCAAGTACCCAGCAGCCAGAAAATGAAGATCTCTATATATTGTTCTTGTGTGACCTCCAAGTATAGTATGTTTGTATAATAAAGAACGGGAAACATGTGCATGTAAGTCTAAGTATGTATATGTACTGGTATGTTGTCAAACATGCGTACACAGAGATACACATACACACACCACATATACGGAGAGATCACACAGATACCACACGTGTATGTGTTTACATTTTCAAAAAGTATCATTAGAAGCAAAATTAATTCTAAGATAAACGACCCAGTTTCTTTAAAAAATGCTATTAAAAACAAGAGGGAAATTTATTTTAAATTAAAGATGTTCAACCAAATGGGATGTATAGATCTTATTAGAATCCCGATCCAAACAAACTATAAAAAGACATTTAAAAAAAAAGACATTTTGAGACAACTAAAGAAAATCTAACATGTACTAGGCATGAGATGACATAATTATTGTTAAGCTTGCTGGGCATGATTATGGTACTGTAGTTACGTATTTTTTTAAAGTTTATAGCTTTTAATCTAGAGATTTCCCTCCTTTTAAACACTGTTTATTATAGATTTATCTTACAGAAGTGCCCAGGTATCATTTTAAATAATCCTTTATCCCTCATATTTTTTGTGAACCGGTTATTCCATCTAGAAGCTTATAATTCAGGTTCAGTTTCTTCAGCAAGAATATTCCATAGGTGGCATTTTATACTTCTTACATATAGTCCTGTTGCCAAGAATGCCCTTCTCCCTTTTGGCCTGACAAACATTTATTTATCCTTTAAAGACTTGGCTCAGAAGTCACCTCCTTCAGAAAACCTCCTTAACCTCCAGTCCCATACTAAGCTGGCTTCCCCTACTTACTAATCCAATAGCTAACCCTAATGGCACTGGAACTGCCTGCCCCTCTGTTGCACCAATCAGGCTGTGAACACTGGTAGCAACGGACTAGTCTGCAGGACTGGACTCCATGGAGGCCTGAAGCCTAAGTGGGTGAAGTTCCAGGAAAGTAATCTTTACCCCATAAACACATCAGATCATGACCTGGTGTCATGGCCCAACCATTCATACCTGGTAGGCAGGCAGCACAAAGCCAAAATCTCCAGGGTAACAGGAAGGAGTAATGTTCAGGAGTAAAACCCCCTGAGAATATCAAAAGGAGCTGTTTGCATCTGGCAGACTCCTTACTATTTGTAAACACTATCATCCACAGCTGCATGGCTCAATGGGGAACTTATGGAAGCACTTCCCAAATTGGAATGGGCATTCAAATTGCCCAGAGACCTAATTCAAAATGCAGATTTGGATTCAGCAGGGCTGAAGTGGGACCCCAGATTCTGCATCCCAGGTGGATGCTGTTGGTCTGCAGACCACACTTGACCCAGTAAGGTTCTGGGAAACCTGAAAGTCAGCCCTCTCTCAGGGAACATACAGCATTAACTCTTGTCTTACTCTCTTTTAATCTAACACAGTGCCATTAAAACAAACAAATCCAAATTTTAATTCTTCTTATCTGTTGGCATCTTTCTTCTAATATATCCCTCCTGTGACAACTATGCAATCTCTCATTCATCTAGATCTCTCCAGCGTGGAAAATATAAGCCCTCACTAAATGCTTGTTAAGTGATAGTCTATATAATCTCAACATATTTAATTCTTTCCCACCGGCTTCTTGATAAGATATGTTTGTTCACTGGTCCATCTTTCCCATTTGATTATCAACTCCTCGAAGGCAGAGATTCTTCCCTTTGTGCCGTGGCCCATGGTCTGGTCTGGCACATAAGCAGCGGTCAGTGGTGTTTGCTGACTCAGCCTGATGACTGAACACATACACACACTACGCCAGGTTCTGAGAACCCTGAATACAAACCTATCCTTTTTTCTGAGGGACTTAAATGCTCACATGTAGGACTTGTTTTCATAAAAGTTTAGTCACATACACTGAAAAGGATCATCAGCTTTACTTAACAAATAAGGAAAGAGCAAAAGAAAGTTCTATATTATGCTTCTTCACAGACAACCTCATCAAGATAGGAATAAACATTTCACAAAAGGTACCTCAGTCTTCCCACATTCATCAGGCGGATCCTGGTGGATGGCCATTTGATACTTGACATATAAAGAAAATGACTGGCTGAAGGACGACTTGAACTCTGGGTCCTCAAAGGAGACAGGTACTAACCTCACCTTCAGAGCAAGGAAAATACAAGCAAATGCTATTGAAACATCTCTACCTGCTGATGTGCTTCTGAAGGTGAGGCTAGAGTAAGATCTCCGCAAATCCACTTCCAAAGCTCAGCGCTGGAGTTTTTCATGAAATAAATAAACCCTGGAACGTGCTGACTGGCCCAGAGCTGAAAGCGCTAACTTTATACTAACACTTAGGAGAATTTTTAACTCCTAAGGGCCAGGACAATTTATTTTTCTTTTATTTTTTACCCTTTCCACCTATTGTGGTTCTATGCACAGAGTCAACATTGTTGCTCATGGTAGTGGTCACTACTTTTGTCCCCTCTACTAGTATTAAGATTTTTCCCCTTCCACATTTTTCTTGGATATTCTGATTTACAAAATTACAAGCATATGAGAACTTCTATTAAAATATTCTATTATCTTTAAAAAAATTCTACTGTCTTACTTTTCTAGTCCCACTCAGTTGTGTATAATTTAGCTGTCATGAACTCTGTCCATACATGACTTTTAAATGGAGATAAAGCCTATTAACCATGTTGTGCAAAGTATGCTTATCATAAAAATATAAAGCCTTTTTTGCTTTTTTCCACATAAATATTTTATCTTAGAGTTCTATTACTAATTTTTAGATAAATACATCCAGACATAGCAACTTTAAAGATAATTCATTTTACGTGTTACTTTCCACTTTGCAGTTACACGTGACTGGCACTTAACATGTCCTAGGTAAAATCTGCACTTTCAGAATGTCCGTTACTCCACATTCCTATCATTTTGCAGATATGCTGCAAATTGAATATAAATAAAATGTACCACAAATAAATCCAGTTATAATACAATGGTATCAAATGGAGGGGGAAGTTCCATTTGCACAGAAAAATTACACTTGGCCTGCTGACCTGGCTCACAGTTGGTTTATCAGGTGGATCCTTGTGAATAACCATCTGGTAACGTTTATAGACCTGGTAAGACTCCTGAAATGTGGCTTTGAACTGAGAACTTGGTGGAGATGACCTCACCACCCTCACCTTCAGAAGGAGTTAAAAAAACAATGTTTGTTAATTATTTATTCCACAGAATACGCATTAACAGTTACTCCCACCCAAAAAGAACCAAAAGTTCCCATACAAATATTAAAGCATAAACATACGATAATATTTTAACATTAAAAATTAACAAGATAGTAAATTTTTTTAAAAAGTTATTTCTCCAACTTACAGACTCATTAAAAAGGCAGATCCTGTCTAAACTCTTAAGGCTAAGATCTAGGACTGAATTATGGAAGACTGACTCTACTGTAAAATGGCAGGATACTTCTGGCACTCAAGACACAAACACAAATAAATACTCTTGAATTCCAGTTGTATGCAACTCACCTTCAGTAAATCATTCAGAAAAACTAAAAATGTGAATATATTTTCTAGACACTCTTCAGGCATCACTCCTAACTCTAAACTTACAGATTTTGTTTTTATAAGTGTGAAAGACAACCCTCACAAAGTATTCCTATTTCATGGCATAGTTAAGAATGAAGACCCTAAAGTTAGATTTCTTTTACTCAAATTTTCAATGTCACCATCTTGGTCAAGCAAATAAATTTACCTCTCTGTGCCTTAGTTTCCTCACAAACAAAATAAGGATGAGTTAACAGTAACTGCACAATAATGGTGAACACTTATTTTAACATTGATTATTCACTAACCAGTTAAAATGTGTTAGCAAAACACAATAGTAAAACAGAAAATCGAATGCAGTATAATAAAAGGGCTAACTGGAAAATTTTCACGTATGCCATAAGAAGCAATTCTTCTGCAAAGAAAGAGTAATATACGGTGGACAAAAAGTCTCTGCCCACCCAAGGTATCATTACGTTAGAAAAGTAAAAGCTGCCTGCTGCCGAACTGCTATTACATACTTTAAGTAGTATGTTCAATTCTCTTTACAATTTGAGAAGGAGAAAGTCAATACCAAAATCAGAGCAGTTAAGGAATTATAGTAGTCAAAGTTGTTAAGACTTATGTCTCTGATAATATATATGATCCTAAGGTTAAGATTGCATTAAAGTTAATTTTCAATATCAGGTCCGTAGCAAAGCTCTTAGATGGTATTAAGCTACAAATTCAAAGGCTGACCAGTTATTGAGATATGAGAATATAATAAAATCATTATCATTAAAATGTTTCAGAAAAAAATGTATGAACACCAAATACTGAAGAATGTAGATTTAATCTGGGATGTAAATAAAAAATAATAGGAATACTCTAAAAGTAATCATACTATGCCTACAGAGGTTTGAGAGAATTACTGAGAGAGGATTAAAGTCATACAACTTAGTACTATTTAGTTAATTCCTAATTGCTGGCTCGCATATGTACTACCATTTGTTGCCTTAATGAAGATCAGGATACTAGAATGGATAAAACAGTGATTTGCCTGGTGTGATCTATTCTCCTTCAGGATCTAACCGAAATTGCTAACAGTGAAATTTTAAATAGTATATTTTGTCACTTTAACTACTAAATTTCAATCAAGGGATACAAAAAGCCAGAGTCCCTTACATAGTAACATGCTAAAACTGGAATTATTTTCACAACTTTAGTAGCCAAACTGCATGAAGTACTTATTTTAAATCTTAAAAAGAAAAAAGGTTTTTCTCAAATAGCAGTTAACCTAGTAAATACAAATGCTACTCCATCCCAATTCACTTAATTTCCCATTATTTAAACAGCAAAATATCAACTTAGTATGACCTCAAATGAAAATAATCAAGGTACCAACAACAACAAAAAAATAAAACAAAACACCCTCCAAAGTACCTCTAACTTGTGTGATGCATTCTCTGGTAAAGATTCAAAAATTAAATCTTCAAGTGATTTGGGCTGGTTGGATTTATTAGCCTTTGGTGGGAACAAAGATGGTGGTTCACCGTGAGCCTGGAAACCCTCAAGTTCTCCAGCTGGGTTCTGCTGCATGAGTTTTAACCTTTTCCTTTCTTTCCGGATTTCCTTTGCTTTCCGGCACGGAGGCTTACTCAAATCTGCCCCTTTGCCTAAAACAATTGCAAAATATTAGACCAATCACATTTGACTCTAGAAATTTTTTTTTCCCCCAAAAGTCTTAAAGATTCTACAGAATTAAGTCTAAAGAGTTCCAACAGTTAGGTTAGCTTTGTAAGGAGATGTTTCAGAAGATTCTGGTGGAGAGCTCTAAGATGATCTTAAAATTCTATCTCAGAAGTGGGACTGTCAAAGAAAGTATTTACTTTCTGAAACTGAAACTTCACACAGCTCTTACTGTGAAAATTAAAAAAAAAATTAATATTCATCCACTTCTCTGCCTTTATAAGTTGAAAAAAACATAATCAAATATCTTCTACTACAGGACACGGGTATTTCCAGCCCATTCCTGAGGGACATTTCTCTCAAAGCACTGGTGACATAAATACATGCTTAGGACCTGGGTGTAAATGAGTACCGACCCCAGAAAACATTCTGGCAGGTTTTTTGATGAAAAAATACCCTTGCTTACTTGAAAGTATTTGTGTCTCTCCATCTAACAAATGGATGGGATCTCATTTGTTCAGCTCCAGTTAATGAGAGTTTTGTTTGAATTAAAAGAGCAAATATCAAACTGAAAGGACTTTAAGATATAAAAATTTTAGCTACAATAAACCACGAATTTTAGTGAGTGCCCTTTCATCTAGCAAAGAGTCTTCAAGGACTTGATGTTGAGAAGATCATTAAGAGTTAGAGGCAAAAAAAAGAAAAGAGTTAGAGGCAAATAACGGACACAAATGAAAACTTCAAAATAATTTAAATGCCCAATAATAGAATAATTATACAATTTTTAAAACAGCTAAGCAACAGAATATCAAACAGTCATTAGAAATGCTTTGAAATTTTCAGGGATTTGTCAATATACAAGGTTAAAAAATAATTCCACTTATGTATAAATAGACACATGAAAAATATTTAGATAAGTCTGGAAAGAAAAATAACAGTCATTTTACATGGGTTTAGAAGTAGAGAAAGGACTTTTTTGCTTTTTTTTTCTTGCAGTGTTCTCTTTTCTCCAAATTCACTAACAACAAACATACCTTTGTAATTTTTTTAAAGTCATTAACAAAATAAAAATGCTATTTTAAGATTCTAAAACAGTATTTACAAATCATATAGAAGTCAGCAATATGAAGTTTTACAAGACTAGCAAGTTCAATTTTTTTTAAGATTGTATTTATTTATTTGACAGAGAGAGAGACAGCAAGAGAGGGAACACAAGCAGAGGGAGTGGGAGAGGGAAAAGCAGGCTTCCCGCTGAGCAGGGAGCCCGATGTGGGGCTCGATCCCAGGACCCTGGGATCATGACCTGAGCCGAAGGCAGTCGCTTAACGACTGAGCCACCTGGGCGCCCCTCAATTTTATAGAAAAGAAAATCAAGACCCACGGTGTTAAGGGACTTGCCAGAGACTAAAACTGGTCAAAAGAGATGAATCTGATGTAGGGCGCCCAGGTGGCTCAGTTGGTTGAGCGTCTGGCTCTTGATTTTGGCTCAGGACATGATTTCAGAGTCATGAGATGGAGTCCCGGGTCAGGCTCCATGCTCAGCATGGAGTCGGCTTGGGATTCTCCCTCTCCCTCTGCCCCTGAAGACACATGCTCGCTCTATCAAACAAACAATCTTATTAAAAAAAAAAACAAAACAAATTTGATGGTAAAATAGTGAGTTCAAAAATAGTAAAATCATATTAAAACTTCACCAACATTTTTTCCAATTAAGAACAAACTTTACGTATAAAAACAAACTTTGAATAAGTCTTATAACCAGGCAACAAAGGACTGATTCTATAATTAACCATTACTCTATTAGAGAATGAATTTTCTTTGGCCTGGGAATCTGTCTCCTCAAATTTGTTCTGAGAGGCACAAGAGCATTTGGTTAAGAGCACACACTCTGACATGGGCTGCCTGAGGTCATCTCTGTCACTGGCTAGAGGACCTTGGGCAAGTTTCCTTGTCTATACAAAAAAGATAATAACCAGTACTACCTATGGAGCTCTATGAGGATTAAATGAGTTAACACGTATGTAGCTCCTAAAACAATACCCACTGTTGGGCACCTGGGTGGTTCAGTTGGTTAAGCATCCGCCTCTGGCTCAGGCATGATCCCAGAGTCCCGGGATTGAACCCTGCGTCGGCTCCCCCTGTTCAGGGGGGACTCTGCTTCTCCCTCTGCCCCTCCTCCCTACTCGTGCATGCCCTCTTTCTTTCTCCCTCTCTCTCTCTCAAATAAATAAATAAAATCTTCAAGAAACAAAACAAAACAAAACAATACCTACTATTTCATTAGGGCTCTCTATTATCATCAGCTATCATATGCACCACCAGTCCCTACAATGTTTTACGTATGTGGGTACTCCGTAAGTGGTAACAAGGCAAAAAAAAAAAAAAAAAAAATCCTGCATTTTCTAGAAGTTACTCAAAACTACATTCCCTACCAAAGTTTTAAAACTATGAACAAATTATAAAACTACAGTGAACTGAGAAACAAGTTTTCAGCATTTTTATGAAAGACCAGCTTTACATTAATTCACTGGACTAAGCAATCCTGACTGCGCCTGCTTTACTCTACATGTGTGTACTATCACATTATCAACTGCTATACACAGCTAATCAGGATTTCAGCTTACTTAGGGGATAAAGATCTCCCCAGATCAATAAGATCCTTCAAAAGAACTGGAGCAGATCAATATAAAATCAGTATACCATACCAACCTGGCACCCACAGAGGTTCAAACCACTCAAGGATCCTAGATTAGTCCCAAGAGTTTTGAATAGAATTCAACAGACCTGCATAATTTCTAATTAAGTTTCAGGAAATACACTTTTAACATTTTTAAAGTAAAAAGGAAATGCATACTTCCAGAGAAAATCCAAAGATCCCTACATTTTAAAACTGTCTTACATTTCTGGTGAGAAATACCATAAGGGGAAAATAAGAGCAAACTTTTTTTTATGGTTTCAGTAATCACACTGCTGAAGATAAGGTTGGTACTGTTATTCTAAACTGTTATGTAGAGTAGGGTAAAGCAAGTAGGTAACTGCAATATTCTAATTCTAATTCTACCACTCTCTGTGTCCTTGAGAACCAGGTTTCTCCGTGTGGAAGAAAGAAGATCCAAATGTCAAACAAACATGTAAAAATATGACAGTCCTGAATCTGAACTGTAAGTATCAACATGACCCCTCATGACCCCTTGCGTCTGTTCATTGAAAAAGCCTAGAAAACAATGACCAAGCCAGTACCAATAATGGTCACATCTAGTCTAGTTGATGATCTCCAAATACCATTTTCCACTAAAAGAAACCAGGACTCCTTGGAGAAATGGCTGTACAAAATGATCCAGGAGCATCATGTCATAGGAAGCTGCCAAGAGTACTACCATTTTATCCTAAAAAAAAACCTAGAAGCCAACTTAGAGAAATTCCCACAGGAGCAGAGAATTAAAACATAGCCAATGTGTTTAGACCCATGAGTTCACAATGATAGATGGATGGATGGATGGATGGATGGATGGAAGGAAAGAAGAAGGAAAGGAAAGGAAAGGAAAGGGGAAAGGAAAGGAAAGGAAAGGGGAAAGGAAAGGAAAGGGGAAAGGAAAGGAAAGGGGAAAGGAAAGGAAAGGAAAGGAAAGGAAAGGGGAAAGGAAAGGAAA